TCTTGCTGACGGATTGCCAATAAGAAGCAGATGTATTGTTTCAGCATGTTTTGATTTACTGATATCTGTTGGTTTGGTTTTTATGATTAGGTATTTTCTTTGCTTAAGTTGTTTTGTTTTTTGAGTATACATAAAAAATTACTTTCAGTATTTCTGATAATGCCAATATCTCCAAGCTCGTTCCATATGTCGATGATTTTATCATATGGGAGTAGTAGTTATCTATAAGAGTTAATTCCTGGGCTTCTACTAACGCAAATAATTTAATTTCTTCCCAGTGTTGTTTAATATAACTCAGAGCATCTATTCTTAATTCTTTGTGTTTATCTTGATGGCCATATAGATACTGACTCACTGCTCTAAACAAACAACTTCCATCCCCAACAATATCCAGTGTAAGGAAGATGGTGTTTCCATGGTTCTGGGTAGAGTTATCTTTCGGATTATAGTCGGCTGTAGGTTCTTGAGGTACAGGAGCCCGCCTGTTCAGCTTCCTGCCGCCGACGACGTCCCGCATACTGTCGAGTTCATCATCGACTCCAAACCCGCCCTGGCGATCCCCAGGCAGCGATTTTTTTCCGAGGCTTTTTTCTTTCTCCATTTTCATGGGTGTGTTGTTACTCGTTTTTGGGGAGTTGAAGAAAAGCGTAACTGTAATAACCTCAGGGGGACTTAGATGGATATCCGAAGTGGATATGGGCTTTGGATTGGGATATTTTATATGGATGGGTGTAAAAAGGAGATAAAGATGTGAGGACGGCGGTCAGCCGGCGTCCCTTGGCTGTACCGTCTACGCATTCGATAGCAATAGATACACTGCTAGATACAGTGCTTTATCGGCCAGACATTATTATTATTATTATTATTATTATTAATATTATGATTATACAATAGAAGGCGGCAAAGCTGATGAGTCTATTGATTGGTTTTTATATCCGTTCACAATTTCAAGTCCATAATTAATTATCACATTCATTGTATCTCAGATATGGTATTATTTTGTCACTAGTGTACTGGGGATAGTGGACAAACTGGTTATTGTTTTCACTTATATCTTTGTCTACACGGTTTTTGAAGGAGTTAGCACTAGTGGCATTTACCGTATCTTGACTTAGGTTATTCCATGAGTACACAACCCTGGTTGTTAAGAAATTGCGTCTTATTAATTTGGAACATTTTTCCTTGTTTAATTTCTTGTTATGCCCTCGCCGGTGCGTATTATCGGCAAGAATGAAGATGTTAATGATATTGCACTTGTAATTACCACTAGTTATTTTATAAGTCTTAATCAAATCTCCACGCTGTCTTCTTTGGTAGAGGGTTGTAAGATTAAGGCGCTGTAAACGTTCTTGATATGAGAGTTACCATTCGCTGTACTTTCTCTAGAAAATCTATATCTTTGACATAATAAGAACTCCATACACTTTGCATATATTCTAGTTTTGGTCTTATGTATATGTTGTAAAGCTTAAGTATCATATCACTATGGTTTATTTTTTTCCAAGATATATTTTGGCATTGTTAACTTTGAAACATAAACAATACCGCTTATGCCGATTATTGGTCGCTATTGTAAAACTGATGTCAACCTGCAGAAACACCTCATTTTGCGACCAATCAGGGTCAAGCGTTATTGTTTATGTTTCAAAGTTTTCAATGTCAAAATTTATCTTGGGAAAAAATAAAGTGTAGATAGGTTTTTAAACGACTTTCTTATAAGGTAAATCAAGGTGTTCACTTTTTTGCCAGTTGTTGAGATGTGCCACTCCCATTTGAGGTCTTTCGTGACTACCAAGCCTAGATCTTTCTGTTTTTTGACTGGAGTCACCTCAGTGTTTCCTATAGTGTACTTATAATTGGGATTACTTCTTCCTGAGTGAAGAACAGTACACTTAGATTCGTTTGATAGCATCGGCTATGTGATAGTCCACTGTTCAATTTTATCAAGATTGCTCTACATTTGTAGGTATTGGTCACTTGCTCTGCACGTAGAATTTGTGTCGTCTGCATCAAAGGATGAGGTGTCACACGCGAGATCTGCAGGAAGATCGCTTTTGTATAATATAAACAGCAAAGTTGCAATTACTGAGCCCTGTGGTACTCCGCTATACATCTCGCGACTACTGGATAGAACATTGCCTATTTTTACTTGAAAGGTCCTTCCTTGGATAAGTTTGCTGATAACTCTATGCACATTGAGTATTCTATTATGCTCCATTTTTGCAGGAGTCTCCTGAAAGGTACCCTATCAAAAGCTTTTCCAAAATCTATGTAGACAATGTCAAATGGCGTATTACTGTCATCCATTTGAGTCCATTTGTTGAATCTTTCCAGCAGTTTGGTGAATGTTGATCTTCTTGGTAAGAACCCATGCTGAGAATCATGTATTACTTGCTGTTCTAGTAAAAAAGATGTTAGCTCATTCACTAGGATTTTCTCCATGCATTTGCAAAGTACGCTGGTGAAACTTATTGGTCTGTAATTTGATGGTTCCAGTTTGTCCCTCTTTTTAAAGATTGGTACATCTATTGAGAAATGTGAAGAAATTAACACCTACATAGGAGGAAAGAAATGCTCAGAGGTTTGGAGATTTATATCAAATGTCAAAAACCCAGGAAAAGACAGAGCTAATATCCAGATTATTAAACCAGAGCAATGGGTAGAACATTACAATATCACAAGAAAGTAGACCGGAATATATATTAGATTCTCCAAGACATATTGAAGTACATGGAGAAGTAGTTGAGATATCTGAAGAAACAGTAAAAAATACTGTTAAGAATCTTAAGTCAGGTAAAACTAGCGGACAAAAGGGATATAATCAGGAATGCTGAAATGGGGAACTAAGAAGCTCTTTAAAGGTCTCACATGTATTATCAATAAATGTCTAAATGGACATCTTGTTCCACAAGACTGGAAAACGGACACAAAAAAGGAAATAAGCTGGATTGCAATAGCTATCGGGGCATATCAGTCACAAGCACACTAAGCAGACTATACGGTAGAATCCTGCGTGATCTCATTGAAGAAGATTATAAAGAGCAAGAAGAAGAGCAGTGCGGCTTTAGAGCAGGAAGATCAGGTACGGACAACGTATTTTGCCTAAAACAAGTCATAGAAAAGAGATCTGCTAGATTTTTGGAAGCCCACCTCACATTTGTTGACCTACAGAAAGCATACGATACAGTCCCAGTATCCAGACTATGGAAGGTATAAGAACACACAAACATCAATCACACCTACATAACGGCACTTAAGGAACTATATAAAGACTCAAAATCAAGAATTAAGATAGGTAAAAAACTCACAGACACATTTATAGTAAATAAAGGACTACGTCAAGGATGTTGTATCTCTCCTACGCTTTTTAAAATATACGTAGCAGTAGCACTGAAAAATTGGAAGAGGAAGATCCATGGAATGGGTATAGAGATAAATGATAGGTGCCTGTTTACTCTTCAGTTTGCAGATGATCAGGTCATAGTGGCCAGTGACAAAGAGGACATGCAATATATGATTAGAAAGCTGATAGAAGGGTATCAAGAATGGGGCCTGAGAGTTAATATAAATAAAACAAAATATCTATGTGTAGGCAACCAGAACGGAAACTTGGAAGTGGACGATGGTCAGGAAATTCTGCAATGTCAAGAATATGAATATCTAGTTATCACATTCGACAACGAACAGACGTGAAAAAAATAGAAAAGCGAATAAAGCTAAAAAAGTAATAGGATGCCTAAATGGAATATTATGGGGCAAGGAAATTACAAAGAAGAGAAAATTTAATATGTACGAGATAATGATAAAGAGCAGCCTTTTATATGGAGCCGAGACTTGGAGAATTACAGACAGACAAAAGAAAAAAGTGGAAGCAGTTGAAATGCATGCTATTAGAAGAGATAGAATAAGGAACGACAATATAAAACAACAAATGGGTATAGAAGGTACGATAGTCCAGGACATTGAAAAAAAACAACTTACCTGGTACGGACACGTAGAAGGAATGCCAAATGACAGGTGGCCCAGAAAAATGCTGCATTGGCAACCAACAGGTAGAAGAAAACGAGGAAGACCAAAACTGGAATGGCAGAAGACCATACAAAAGTCCATGAGTGAAAGAAATCTCTCATCAGAGGATTGCGACGATAGAAGAAGATGGAAATTAGGTGTCGGACAACGAAGAAAGACGTTCTAAAACGATATGTATATATATATACAACTATTGAGGATTTCCATATTTCTGGAATAGGAGCTCCTTTCATTATAGAGTTTAGAATAGTGGCTATAGGACTGGAGAGCGATTTGGAGCAGTTTTTCAGAAAGAGAGAAGAAATGGCCATTTGTACTTTTCTGGGGTGAATTCTATATTACTTATCTCTGCAGCGATGCGTAGTTCAGGTGAAAGAGTTGGTAGGTTGTTATCTTCTTCAGTGAAGACTCTCTGGAACTGGTTTGTTTTGCTCTGGTGTTGTTGACGATTTGGAACGATATATGCAAGCCGTTACAAAGGTAAAGGTGCTGATTGTAATTTCCAACCAAGCTGCTTCTATTGGGTGTTCTGTTTTGTACAAGGTGTTTAATTTTGCTTGCGTTTGGTGACCTACTACTGTATTTTTAACAAAAATGCAGATACCTCCTCCTGTTTGGTTATGCCTTTCTAAGCGAAACAATGTATAATCATCAGGAAGATGAACAAAATTGTCAGGAAGATCTGGGCGTAGCCATGACTCAGTTATTAATGCAATGGTTTGATTAATTTTGTTAATGTTAGCTTTAAATTAATCGACTTTTGGTACAATTGAACAGAGGTTGCTGTACCAGAAGGAGACTTCAAATACAGTTTGAGAATTTAGTTTTTTGAAGCTGCCCTAGTAGAAGCTTTCACAATCTTTGGGATATTGTTTTGGTATTTTATAATTAATTCTATCTCACCCTCAGCTTTTCTGGTTTCTAACACTGAGATTACTCTTTTTAGATAGGTACGTTGACTAAGAGTGCGGTCATACTTGATATATGTCACTTTGCTCTAGTTTACTTTTCAGTCTAAGCACCTGCAGGGCTTCTACCTTGGTTGGGAATGTGGCTCTTATAGGACTTTTCTTATTTGCTTTGTACCTTCCAATTTGAGTTATCTTAACTTTTGCGGGTTCAGTTGAGCCGTTTATTTTACGTATTATGCGAGTGGCTTTTTCTAGATCAAAAGCTGATTTCTGTTCTGGTTCAGGTGAGTTAGACTCTTCCACTCCAAGGATAAGAATGTTCTGCGATCTGCGTTCACGTTCTTGCATTTCTTAGATTGCTGGCTCGAGTTCAAGCTTGGTTAGAGAGGCAGTTTGCTGCTGAAATTTGTCTTCCAGTTTCTATACCTGATTTTTGAGGTGATTTCTCTCTGACGCAACTCTTCTCTCTGACACAACTTGGGCGTATGTTGGAGCTGTTGGGGCAGTGGGGGAGGGTGTGTTGACTCATTCATCTTCTCCTTAAGACTCTTCAACTGTAATATTACTTCCTTCAGTTGCTGTTGAATAGCAACATCATGAAAGGCATTTTTTACAGTAGCCCTGCATTCCTCACAGTAGTGCATGACGATTCGCTTTTTGTTTATTAGAGCTTTTATTTCAGAGGAAGATATGCCTGAGCATTCTTCACAAAAAATTTCCTTATGGCAGTATTCGCAAGGCGCTCCGAAGGTCTCTTTGCAATCCTTGGATTGATTTATGTCTTTGAAATAACACTCGTTTTTATATTTATAGCACTCGAGGGTACCCATTTAGAGGTTAGGTTTTGATTTTGTGTTTCAACTTTTTGCTTGAACCAACTTTCACTTGCACTTTATGAGTTCTGGATAAATCTTTCAATCTTTCAATGCCTAAGGCACTTTGGGAATAATTTATTTTGATTTGGTTGTGAAAAAATGGAAATTAAAAATTTAACTGTAAACTGTGAACATATAACCTGAATTTACCTATTTTCTTTTCAGAGATATTCACAGGTTTAGTAAAACTAGAAAAATTATTTGGGAAAGATCTCTGAATTTCACTGTTCTTTTTGCGGAAATGGCATATCCAAGCACAAGGGATGAAATTTCTTGACTATTTGCTGCTAACTTCTAGTTTTAAGGCAAACGCGAGCAATAAAGAATCAATGGGGAATAAGAAAATCAAACTAAATGTAGCACCTAGTTGAATCCAACAGCACTAGGGCATTCTTTCAGGCTACTACTGGTATACAGACGTCCAAGGACTCAATCCCCCAGAATCCTAAGATGATACAAGACTTCTTTTTTCGATGTCTTTAAGCAGACAGTTCCTTTAATAATTTTCGTTGGAAGGAACACTCTCAGGAACTACTCAACAAAGGATCAAAAATTATTGATGACATCTTCAACGAAGTTTCACAGAAACCAATACAACAAGAACTGACCGAGGTTCCTAGATTGGAGGAGTTCAGTTTGACAATAAGCCAGTCTCGTCTCGAAAAGTCGAGACGAGACCAGTCTCGAGTCTCGCGGCATCACTAACACAAAAGTGGTCGTTAGAAAGGTACTTACTTATAGCATGTAATAATCTTAGATTTTGTGCTTGATACTTTTAATCCTATAGTTATCCATGGTTTCGCGTTTTTATGTTTAATTTTTATCTTTGGAAATGCTTTTTCAAAATTATGTATAAGAAGAGTGTGAAAGTGGCGAAATGGATCTGATGGTTTGTCGAAGACGTCATTCCAGTTTGTGCTTGAACACAACTGATTAAATTTTTTTAAATTCTTTTTGCTATAGATTCTGCCCAGTTTCAGCTCTTTTTGATAGGTGTCAGCTTTAAAAGTTATGGCTAAGATGATGGCCTCGTGGTCTGACTGTCCAGGTCTAATTGTTTGAGTTTCAAGTGCTTCATTTATATTAGAACATGCATAATCCAGCATCTTTTTTGAGGTAGCAGTAATTCTGGTGTAGCCATGATTGTGCACATTAATATCAAAAGAGGTTAGTAAATTAATGAGTTCTTGTGTATCGTTAAAGTTTCTTTGCTTAAAATCGATGTTCAAATCTCCACCAATAATTATTTTGGCGTTAAAAGGAAACTGAGATAACAGTAGTTCTAGCTTATTAAAGAATAGTTTGATGTTTTCTGCCTTGTTATGTGTTATGGAAAACTCAAGGACTTTTTCTTCTATGAGATGGTCAAGGTCATTAAATGCTTGTAGTTTCAATGTCTCAACCAACTCTGACTTCACCAAAATTTGAGTGCCGCCCCGGATAAAGTCCTTCCTACAGTATCTGCTTATTACAGTGTAGCCCTCCAGAACTTCAGGCTCACCCTCCACGAGCCAGTGCTCCGAGAGAAGCAGCACTTCAGGAAAATCCAGCTCCGATAACAGCAAATAGAACACGTTAACCTTATTCATCAATCCTTGCAAATTGAGAATGAATAAATTATATTTCTTTAGATGTTTATTAGATTGGCACGGCTTTTCATCTGAGGAAGAGATGTTTTGATTTTATTTAGAAACGTGTGTTCTGCAGTTGTTATATTGGAAGTTGTATTGGCATCGGCAAGCGTAGAAAATTACTTGCAGTTGCGTTATGATCTTTATTGCTATCCAAGGTCTCATTATTGCAAGTGAGTGTATTCTCGACCCACTTCTCTCCCAAATGTGTCCTAGTTTTTTGATTTTGAACGAAAATTAAGTTTTGTGTGTTAGTGTTAAAAAAGTTTGAAATAATGTTATGTAATTTTTTGATTAGAGTATTCAATCCGGATCGATTTAGAAATAGGCTGTTCTTTTGGAAGCCGTTTTTTTTTAATACAAGTGTTTGTTAAGATAAGTTTGATACTATTATTCCTATGGGCAATATTCAATATCATATCGTATATTTTTTTTTTATTCATGAGATTTAATGGTGATGAATACTCGCTGTTCACTGGAGATGTACAAAAAACCAAGTTAGTAAAAAAACATTTTTTTGATAACTCCAGGACCAACTTTTTTGTAAAGTTTCTGATTTCTGGCCCTACCAATAGGACAACAAAGTCAGTATTTGAAAATAGACCTCTTGCACTCAATCAAAATTAGGTATATAATTTATCTGTAACGAAAGTGTATTTTATGTACTACATAACAGTATGGTTAGTTAATTTTTTTTTTAATCTTGAAGCCAGAAATTGAAAGAAAAAAAAGCAGATTATTTGAATTTTGCGCTATATTTTTCCACCAATCAAAAATTACTGATTGTCAAATTTCCATCTTCCAAACGAATCTTTTTTTTTTTTTTTTTTGAACACATCGGACAAAAAAGGAGGCATATACAGTGTCATTACTTAAGTGTGCAACATATGGGATTTTTTTTAAGTAATAGCACAATCAAAATACAAACAAGGCCAAAAGTTGGTGCATGTCTGATAATCATAATAGGTGCACTTAGAATGGTTGCAGCTCAAACAGCATACAGGGTAGCTCAAAAAATATCAAAATTGTAGAAATATTTACTTAAATAAAATAAAACTTTTGCACTTTAAGGAGAGTTTTTGTAATATGGCTATTATCATTAGTAATGTTTTAGCTTGTTAAAAAAAAAAATTGCGACATTTTAAAGTTGTGTTGAATATCATTGCAACAAACATGAATTTTGTGATTCAATGAAAAATTAAAAATCTAAGTTAATTTTACAAATATGCTTGAATTTGAACAAAGTTATGTAAAATTGATTTGATTTTAATTAATTTTTGGAAGTATTAAGGGCGGAAATAAAAAATAAAAAAAATATAGAAATTATAGATTTTTTTTGAAAAGAAAATATTTTTTTTTAGGAGGCTATGTTTTGGTATTTAGGCATACTTAGCTTTAAATTCCAAACAACTTTTCTCTATAACATTTTGCTGAATTTTCCAAAATAAGGGTACCTCACTGTATAATTTTGATATTTGTTTGACCTACCCTGTATGCTGTTTGACTTGCAACCATTCTAAGTGCACCTAATATGATTATCAGACATGCACCAACTTCTGGCCTTGTTTGTATTTGGGTTGTGCTATTACTAAAAAAAATTCCCATATGTTGCACACTTAAATAATCACACTGTACAGGCGCCCCCCCCCTGGATCCGCCACTGATCGATACGTGAAATAAGAACGCATGTATTCATCAAAATCGGTTTGCGTATCGACTGGTACAGCTCTACTTTTCACTTGAAACTTGAAAGAGGAGAACGACATCTATTAATTGAAGTATCGACTAGTATCGACAATTTTCTTTCCTTGTCTATAAATGCGAATTAAACAAAGAAATCGATATCTGTACTAATCCGGCACAGTATAAAGTACGAAAACGATAAAAGCGATTTTTGGCTGGCCAATTTACATCAATCACAAAATAAACAATATTTAACAACAAAAAACAGTAGGCTGGGGCAGTGTAATTTGAAGAATAAAGAAAAATGATGTTTTTCCCTGGGAAAATTTGAAAGGGTCTTTAGGGAAACTGAAAGGGAATACAGACACATAAAAATTATACTCGTGTTTTATTTCCCATAAACCACTAAGAAAAATAATAATAATTGTAATAGTTAGGTAATTATTGTTTATTTTGTTTGTGCAATGAAGGATGGAAGAGTTTGTAAAAACCGATTCCGGAAACTGGCCAGAGGTGAGCATGAAGTCTGTTTTTTTTTTTAAGATAAAAGTCAAAATGACATTATGTTGGCATACAATGTAAAATTGTCAATGCTGCAACTTTTTTATGTAGAAAAGGCTTGTGTTGCCAACATAGTTACTAAGTTTTTGACTATAGTTTTTGACTTGGGGAATTATCTTAAAAAAAAAAACAGACTTTAGGTACTCGGTACCTAGATAGGTATTAGTAAAATGCAGGTGGAGTAGAGCAACCTTCTACAAATAATGATTTCCTTATATGCTTATTAGGTACAAACCTCTAAAATTTAGAAGCACACACTAGTAAATGAGTACCTACCTAAAGTATTCAATTATGAACGACATGGCCTTATGCTCGGGTTTATTTTTTGTTTCTTGATGGTTTGTGTGCCTTCTCTGCCTTCTGTCTGTTTTGGAGAGGCTAATAATAAATAAATAAAAATAAATAATGATTATAATGAAATAATGAATTGAAAAGTTGGGTTAAGTTTTCCATAGGGATGAGAATCGATTCCATATCCGATACTTACAAATCTGTGAATTCGATATATCGATTTATTTGTCGCCCCCAGTAAAAGCTTACGTGAAATTCTTGACATCTGGGCAACACTGAATAAAATTGACCAATCAGAAATTTGGTG